CACATCCTGGAAAATTGCATTTTTTGAGTAATTTAATATCTATCATGTTTTAAAAATTGGACGCCATAGACTTGTGGTCATGGCCCATGCTGGGTAGCCATGTAATAGGGTATGAATAAACAGCTAGTTAGGTAGTTAGTTAGTTACTTACTTAGCATTAGTTTTCGTCAGTGGGTTAGTTTGTTAGTGTGATTTAGTTAGTTATAGAAGTTATAGAAATATAAATGTTAATATACATTATATATAGTTAGGTGTTTAGTTCATTAGTTGGAAAACCACATCCTGAAAATCAGCCCAAATATTATCAGAGTAGTATCCATCATGTCTAAAATTGGATGCCATAGATTTGTGGTCATGGCTAGTGCTAGGCTGGGAAACCAAATCCTGGAAATCAACCCAAAGAGAGTTAGAGTAATACCCATCATGTTTAAAGGTGGAAGCCATAGGAAACAACATCCTGCAAAACAACACAAAGATAGTAAGAAGAAGACTGACCCATCATCTGTAAATCTGAGTGCCATAGATTTGTGGTCATGGACATGCCAGGCTGGAAAACCACATCCTGGAAAACAACTCAAAAATAATAAAGAAGACCCATCATCTGTAAATCTGGAAGCCATAGCTTTGTGGTCATGGCCATGCCAGGCTGGGAAGCCACATCCTGGAAAAACACATGATTTCTTCCCCAAACCCAAAATGCATTGATGGGGTTTGATCATCCAAAATTCCAAGGTTGAGTGAACCGTGGGAACAATCAAGCCATATCATCTCATGCCAGGATGGATGAACAAATCTTGGAAATACACATGCCGGAGCTGGAGACCAGACTCTGGATGGCACCTTGCGGCGCATTCCTCTTTCTCAAGAGGTCCTATTTTTAAGATTACGTTTAATGATGGTCAACCTTGGTAAGAATGCCCCATATGACATTGTCAACAAACCAACAACCATAAACACAATAAACAATGCAAAATAGCAAAATGACAATGATGACAAACAAACAGGTCAATTTTTTGAATCATGTGACTTACATGCCAGAGCTGGAAACCAGACTCTGGGGCGCACCTTTCGGCGCATTCCTCTTTTGCAAGAGGTTCTAATTATGATTATTAATCCCTGCTTCCTAAACTCCCACCGCCCATTCCCTCCGACCGCCCTGTTCCTGCTGATAAGGGCCAGGAAAGGTGGGAAACTGGGAAACATGAACAAGAACAGTAAATAACACATGATGAAAAATGAGACAAAATAACAAGTTTCACTATGATATGATGATGATTGGCATGCATTTAGTGGCTGTCCATCTGTCAGTAACGAACCCATGGGGTATGGTTCAAAGCTATCACCGAAAAATCATTGGTTTTTTCCCTAACTTAGCATGTTGCAGCAAATGGGTTTTGGTTCAATAGTAAAATCTTCCTGCTACAGCATGATAAAACAATGAACAGTGGTATGGATAAAAACCATGGACCCTCATCCCATCCAGTACCCCATCCAGTTCCATCCGCTAGCAAATTCCTAAACCAGGCCCCCCCAAAAAATGAAACAACCAACAGATTATGAAAACACCATTTAACAGTGAAGTGGCTTTATGGCGAAAACGACATATTTTTTCAAAACTCTCACAACCGCTGGCGCGGTTTTCACCCCGACGTATGATGGGATGTGTAATTAATTGTGCGAGATTCATAATGGGTGAGTAGAGCTATATAACAAGCTGAGGGATATTGACCTAAGGGGGGTTCGTGTGGCCTAAGCCAACATGGTTTTGCAATTACATGCTGCACAACTTAGTTCGTGTGATTTTGTAGTATTGGCTTGTGATTGTGTGGAGGGGAGGGGGAGGGGGAGGGGAGAGCGGGGGGCAGAGCGGGGGGGGGGGTTCGCGTGAAAAATCACACGTTTGGCAAGTATTTGATTTTGCGAGTTTGTTTTCCACAAGTTCCACCTCGAGGGCGCACTTCGATGGCACAGTGATAATAGCCTCCTCGCTGGAGATCTCAGAAGTGCATCGCATCCTGAGTGTTGAGAACTTTAATTCCCGCTTGAAGTGCTTCAGATCTGCTTGGATGGCAAGACTACACCGAACAACAAAAGGGAAGGTTTGATTTGCTTCGAATCCGGAAATCTATGAGTACTCTGAGTCAAAAGCCCTCGCAACTCGTGGCCGAAGGCATCTTGTAAGGAGGTCAACTCCACCTATGCCATGTACAAAGAATACACCAGTGACAGCTACGAGCTCAGTCTCTCATGTTCCACACAATGAGTCTACAGAGAACTCCGAAACAAAGAATAATATTCATCAATGCATGTATGTCTGCCTGTCTATCTATCTATCCATCTTTCTTTCTAACAAGCTCGCCTGACCTTCACGTTTTTGGTCAGGCGGAGTGCTCCCAGCCATCTAGACTGCTTGGGACACTTAAGGGGATTTCACTGCTGATATCAACTCGTCCAGAGTCTGAATACCATCCCAATCATTCGCAATCTGCAGTAGACATTCTCAATATCAATATCCCAGTGTAGTAACAATATAGTCAGTATAATTTCATAATTGATATTAATTCATATAAACATATGTTCACATAGTTAGTTGGAGATCTTTTCCAATGTCCCACTTCCCCAACACCCGCGGCTCGCCTTGGGTGCCTCAATGCTCAGTCCCTCCGCCCATTTTCGCCAGGCACGTAGCCCGTTCGAGCGGCAACGGCTGGAGCGCAGTGATCGCGGCGGCCTGGGGCGCCGCACAGTGCCTGCCTTACCTTTGTCAAAGGTGCGTTAAACAACTTCCAAGAAAAATGAAATGACAGCAGAATCAACAGATGTAGTATTGCCGAATTGGAAACTTTCATATTCAGGGGGTGGTAATTACTCAAATAAGCGAGAAGAATCTACCAATAGGCTGATATGCAGAGAAGAAAGTCAAAGGCCTTTGATTGTTTGATTTGTTTGGAAGGACGCGATTTCAACATGTGATCTTGTTGTGGGATCTCGTCTATTTCATTCCTGGGACTCATATGTTGGAGGCAACCTCGCGCATGCAGGATGTTCCACCATGCCTTGTCAGAAGAACACCAATAAAAACGCATGCTGGCAGTCCAAGATGTCTGGTTTCCTGCCATTTACATGAGCAAAAGCAGTACCGAATTGAAGTTCAGGGATAAGCCGATAAGCCAAACAAACCCACTCCAAATCTTACCTTCCACACTCGCACATGCGTATCCTCTTCCATCTCTCAGTGTGACATGCAGCGTACTGTGGAGAATAAATTGCCCAAGCTAGCCTTTACACTTCTGAGCAGAAACTCCGAGTAGTATCAAGTAGTAACATCTAGCAGCTCATGTAGAAATTGGACATCACTGGTCATCTTCGTTCGATTGTCACTAAACCATCCGAAACCTGCCAAACACCCTGCATGCGGTGCAGCGCATGCATCCGCGGAATCTCAGCTGCACCATGCTGAGATGGCCAGGGCAGCTGCACTGGCTGTGCCCGCGTGCCAGCTGACAGCATTGCAAATGGCCCACCAGCTGTGTCCGAGTAGCAGAATTGGTGGTCTTTGGTGTTTTTGTTTGAAGTCAATTGCGTTCTAGGTCCAAGATTTTGTGCAATCCGCGTGCCATGTCGGTTGGACATGACATCTGAAATAGTTTTGTAGTTAGGAAATAGTGGGGATAAATGGGAATACAATCGGAAAACATGAAGAAATCCTAATGGGTCCATATGTTGACTATATATATATAATATAGTACATATATTTACTTATGATTGTCTATGGTTGGACTGATGCTAACCTCCAAAGCAGCACCAACAAAGGTGGACTACTCTTGCTATTGCTTCGCCGCTTGCCAACCTTTGAGCTCCACAGAGGTTCCGCGACGGGAATTTTCATCTCCTTTCACTTGATGATACGCCAGGGAAAATCCCCAAGTTTACTTGGAACACTTTGAGTTGGGATATATCAAAATATGTTCACTGTTCCAATGTGGAGGATCTTCAGTGTTGACCCATCCCCAGTCACTTCACACATATATATATATATATATATCAGAAAGGGGTGTTGTGAGCGCTAAGACACAACATTTTGGGGATTACCATCTGGTTATTTAACAGTTCGCCATGGAAAGATCCACCCATTTTTAATAGGTAAACCATCTATAACTATGGGCCATTTTCCATGGCTATGTTAAATAACCAGAGGGCACATTTTTTTTTGTGTTCACAAACCCTTTGTAAGTAAGATGAACCACTTTGGGGGTTTAAAGCTTGTGAATTGCCTACAATTTGGGCTTTTGTCTGCTCCGATTGTCTCAAGAATTGCCTACACTATGAGCATTTGTCTGCCTTTTGTTCGCTTCATGGTTACAAAACAAACAAAACACAACAAACAAAAACAATGTGTTCCCTTCTACTCTGGTCTCTGGACTAGTTGCCAAATCTTTGGCTTTCTTTTTTTGTTTTGGATTAATCCAGATTATATAATCCTGAAAGATATGGCAGTGTAACACTTTCTTGTAGTCTATGTATCTATGTATGACCTGGAAGAGCTATTGGGAATGCACAGTGGTTGCTTTTGCTGCAGAAACAACAATGTTTGGTTTTGGAAAGAGGAGGGTTTAGTTTAGTATCTTTTGCAACACATACATCTCAATAATGCAAAAATTTGGCGCTCACAACACCCCACTCTCATATATATATATATAATATAGAGGGTGCCGCAGCAGGGTGCCCCCGTAGAGGGTTCTACGTTCCTTCCGAACCTCGGGCAATTTTCTTGCCTTCGAATTCCTCTGCGCTTCTGACCTGGTTTTGCCCTGGAAGCTTGCATTGGACTTGGCACGTGCTCTGCCGGCTCGGCCTACCGGCAACACCTTATTTCGTGGTCCCGACCACGTTAAACTATCGGGTTTTGGCCTTGGTGGATCTGATCTACGTCTTGGGCATCTTCGAGGTTGACTTGTCCCTCGCTTCACCCTGGACTATTTCATTTTCCTTGCATCTTCATGCACATCAACTTTGCCTTTTTCCCGGTGATCTTCTTTGTCATCAAGGATTACGCCCACAAGGAGAAGAAGACAGAGACGTCAGAGAGCCACCGCCAGATTTCGGTGGCACATTCACAGACGTGGCTGGACGAGACTCTCGCCTTTGCAAATTGCCTCGATCCACAGGCAGCTGAGCGCGCATCACTCAAAAGACAAACAGTTCTTGCGCAGGCTCAAAGACGCCATGGCGGAAGCCACGACTGCACCCTGGCGTTGTCATTGGTGCCGCAGGCTCAACAAGTACTTTGCGACGAAGTGCGGATCGTGCTACCTGAGCTGGGAGAAGTGCATCGACATTCACTATGTTCATGGGCAAAAGCAACAATCAGCAGCTTCCCCAAGGGCATCCTCACGGAAGAAGTGGCCGCAATCCAGCAATTGGGATCAGTGGGGAAGTTCCGAAACCCCCACTGCCAAGCAGATTACATCACCCAGGCAACGCCCCAAGACTCCGAAGAAGACGAAAGAGTAGAAGAGCAACTATGGTGCACCCGCACTGGACCCGCCTTGGCAGTCCTCAGCGCCGGCACCTGTGCCCCCTCAAACTCTGCCATCTTCCACGGGTTCAGCGGAAGCCAATATCTTACAAGAACTTGTGACAGCGATCGAACAACCAGATCAACCAGTCACAGACGAGATTCAGGCGGTGGTAGAAAAAGCAAAACGACTGCCAGAACGGCCAGTCATTGCCAAATCGGTGCGACAAGCCTTCGACAAGTTGGAGAAGAAGCGCAAGAACCTCAATCATGCTCTGAAAGCACGAAAGAAGCTGCACACTGCTTGGACCAACTACATCGAAGAGTCTGTCACAAGTTGGAAGCAGTTTGCAGCCGACTTCACAGCCAAAGATCCAGATTTAGAGAAGAAGGTGATCGAAGCTCGAGAAGCCGTCCAAGAAGCCCGCAACAAGTACGATGCGGCCAAGGAGACGAACGACAAACAAGATGCAGCTGCGCTGGAGGATGTGCAAGAAATTTCAGACGGAATGGACGAGGATCAGGTCGACAAGATTGCCTCAGCAGAGGACATCAAAGCCGGCATCCAGTCTGCACTGGACAGCTTGGAGTCCTTCCGAGTCACCCCCATGGAGGCGCATCCAGAAGCAATGGCGCACAAAAAGCAGAAGACAGGAGGTGGAGAAGAAGATCCACATTGTCCTGGCTCCTCTGCCTTGAAGCCTTTTCATCAGCCCGGCAAATAGACCAATGGACGGAGATTTGTCAAGGGCAAAGGCAAGCCTGCTTTATGCAGCCAGATTACCTTGTGCACCAGTGGACACATTCCATTTTGGATGAACCATCTTTTTTGAATGAATGGAAGGCCTATTCACAGGCCCTCGAATTAGCATTTGAAGTATCCATGATGAATGGGTTGACGTTTGCAATGCCCCTTGCAGAGCATTTGATTGCCAATGACGAGGTGACGCCATGCAAAAGCAACCGCAGTGTTTCCTTTCACCGCTATGTTGAGCTCTATGTGGGTCCTGAGCACGACTGGCATTTGCAGCAATGGAAACATCAGGTGGAAGTTCCAATCGACCAGAGCAAACTTTTCAGACCCCTTGGGCACCTTTTGGGAGATGAAGTTTCGTTCATGGCCATGGGCACCACCTATCCACAACATGGAGTTTATGAAGAGCAACCATCACCTCTCACGGAAGATCGTCAAATTGCGCCTGATTTTGACGACATGCAAAATGAAATTGAAGTCGAAGTTGAACCAGCACCTCCAGATGATGAATCCTCCAATAGTGAAACATCCAATGAGCATGACTGGTTTGCAACGATTCTCTTCGCCACTGACTTCCAACCAGCGCCTCTACGAGTTGATTGGAATGATTATGAAACTATGCACTCTGACGCTGCGGAGATTTTTGGCGTCACAAGCCATCAACTGCTTACCCTGCACCATGCTGGCACGCCGCCGCAGGACATGTATGATGCTGGAGTTGAAGCGTTGATTGGACATCGTCATGATGACTTAGCGCCTGGCTGCACCTTCAGGTCCTCATTGACGTCGAGTTCCATGCGGCTGCGCCAGAGGAGCAGCCAGAAGTTGTCAGACGAGCTGCCAGAGTGCCGAGACAAATTGGCAGGCTGACGCTGATCAACAGACTTGGCCTCGATGCATACTGTCGAGCCACGCGTCAGTCATGCGCACTATGGAGAAATGGAGAAATTGTTTCACGCTACAGTGCGCTTCCATTGGACATCAATCATGGTGACTATCTTCGAGTTGTAGTTCCTCCTGGTGACCACATCGCAGCACACATCGGTACTAGATGTGTTGCCAGTGCTTGCCAACAGGGCGTCACATTGCGGGAAATTTGTGACAGACATGCCCTTTTCGTTCTGGGATGGTATGACACAATCATTGGTCAGCCACTAGTTCTGCTACGACTTGATGATGAAGGCAGTTCTCTTTTGCAACCATCTACAGGTGTACCACCACTGCCAACTAGTCCATGGTTCTTGCTCAAACAAAGCCTCTGCTGCATCAACCATACTACGCCAACAGATCATTTTGAGACAGATTTCAGTGCGACCACTCGAAGTGTTGCTGACCGTGCTCCTCCAGCCCTTCCAGGCGGCATTGTGCCCAAACCAGGAATCGATGAACAGCCGGAGCACATACAAAACCTCCTTGAGCAACTCCAGCAAGATGGAGCGATCAAGGTTGAAGAAGAGGGTCAGGTCTTGTATGTCACCACGTGGTTTCTCCACTATCCAGTCCATGAACGTTGTCTGGAGCATCGCGCAGTAAGACTTGCGGGAGATTTCGAACACTGGAATCATCAATTTGCTATGACATGCAGAGAGCGTATTGAACCTGGTCTGCCAGTTCATTTCTACCTGGTTCACCCTCAGCCTCCAACATTAAGAATGCAACCTATGGTCCTGCCTCATGTCATTCTCTATGGGCCGTGCGGCGGTCATTACTATTCTTGACTCTCGCGGTGACAGCAGTGGTTTCCAGCACTTGGCGGCCTTCCTTCCTGTCATTACGAGCAAGACCCATGTTATTGTCGCGGCAGACAGGTTCAATGACTGCACTCCTCAGATTTCTGAATTGCAGTGCATGACGTGGCATGGTGAAATTCAACTACAAGGAGATCAGGGAATTGCCATACATCATGGAACCTCATTTCTGATCATTCTTCAATATGTGGCACACATGAGGCTTGACGCTTGGGAGGCAGACCATGATGAAGCTGAGTTGATGCAGCGCAGTTCTGCCAGATGGACAGCCACGAGGAGCTCCGGGGCTCGTCCTATTGCACACACAAACAACAGCACCTCTGGTTTGAACCCAAGTGCACTCGACTTTCAGCCCAACGTCCCGTACATCGGCCTCATGAGCGAATTTGTACAAGACCTCTCAGAAGCATGGCAGACTTGTGCCTTCCACTGGGAAAATGAAGTTAGATCTACACAAGTAGAAGTGTGGTTTGTCGACCATGCCAGAGGACAGCTACATTGCCAACAGCCCAGACTCGCGCGATTGTATGAGGATTACAGCACCTGGGAGGCAACAATTGCTGCCGCTTGGTCGGACAGACGTGTTGCTGGAGAAGAGCTAGAATACTACATTGTGGATCCTTCTCCTCCCAACATGCATGCTGAGACTGCCGCACACATTATTCTGATTCAAGCACCACATGACCAACTTGTGACCAGTTTGCTCACCGTGTTTGAAACCTATCAGAATAGAAGAGAATGTACACTGCAGAATGCAGTGACCACATTCGAACACATTCAGGCAGAACATCTTGCACAGGGCCTTGACTTACACCAAGCCGCACAACGTTGTGAGGTTTGGTATGGACCGCATCAACTTCAGATAGGACGTCCATGGCCAGCAAGATCCGGCTATGGCCTTCTCATGGAGGTCTTTAGAGAGCCCAGAGTGACACAAACACCTGTCCTGCTACAACTTAGCGCGGTGATTACGGATCGAAGTGAGCGCTTAACACGTGGGCAGGTAGCTCATACCCACGGGCCACTTCCATCATTGAGCAACGTTGCGGTTGAGATCAGAGACCTCACATTCTCTGGTGACATGCCGCAATACCTTGAAGTGGAAGGTCCAGGCACTGCTGCGCAAGTCAGAGAAGAACTTCAAGCTTGGGGACACTTTACAGAAGTATTTGACTGTTGGCCCCAACCCCTCTTTGTGTGCCGGCCACAAATTGTGGAGGATGACACCACCATGCACTACCTGCTTTGTCGCAATGAAGTAGAAGCAGAGCATGAAATTTTCGTGCACACCAGTGCAGTTGCCCTCTCTCGTCAGGTCAAGAAATAGAGGATGCAATGGCCACCAGAATCCTCATCGAGGGCCAAATTTACAGCGCCCATGATTGACCTTGACAACATCCAAGAACTTGAGAGACCATGTCGTCTGGATACTGGACAGACTACTGGTCTACTTCGTGAACTTTTTGTTTCTGGTCAGCAGATGCTTTGCCCAAAAGATCAGGTTAGGCAATTTCTTGCCTAATAGTTAATTCCTTATTTCCTACCTAATTAGGTAATTTTTAAGGTAAAAATGTAACCTAATTTTAAGGTAATTCGGCACGTGGGGTTGAAAGTTTGCGTGCAAACTTGCGCGGCGGGGCTGAAAGTTTGCATGCAAACTTGCGAGACGAGGTTGAAAGTTTGGATGCAAACTTGCGAGGGGAGATTGAAAGTTTGCGCGCAAACTTGCGAGGGGGGGTTGAAAGTTTGCGCGAAAACTTGCGAGGCGGGGTTGAAAGTTTGCAAGCAAATTTGCGCCCTTTGACACACACGCAAGCATTTGCATGCAAATGGTGGTGCAAGTTTACACTCAAACTTGCGAAGGGGGGTTGAAAGTTTGCCTGCAAACTTGCGAGGGGAGGTTGAAAGTGTGCATGCAAACTTGCGAGGTCGTTGAAAAAATTAAGGCAAGAAAAATTAACCAATTTAGGTAAGGAAAAAATAAACTAATAGTTATTTTTTGTCTAAGATAAGGAATTACCTTTCGGCAGAAAATTGCCTAACCTGATCTATTGGGTGCAGGAACTTTACATGCTTCGAACTACCAGATGAGATCAAATCCAACTTTGAAGCCCGCAATTCAGATCAGCCACTACCAGATTTGGCTCAATATGCCAGATTGTTTGTCTTTACAGAAGGCACTTCATCTCCTGAGGTCACGGCTGCCGCCTTTGCAGGCTGGCGAAGTAGGAAAACCTGATGTCTGGGCTTTCCTTGTGATTGGTGAATACTATGCGGATGGAGCTCAATGTTTTCAACCCATCGGATGGACTGCGCAAGTTGTTAGATACCACGCTGAAGGCAGTCATTACAATGGTGTTTACAAGATCGGGTCTGACATGGCGGAGCGCAGCGCATTGACCTGGGCAGCACTATGGCGATTGTCACAAAACATTCAGACTGAGACAATCTTTTGCTGCGCGTAGATGTGGTGTCAAAATTGTTATTTTAGAAGAAACCAATGGGGAGATGCTTGAACCTCTGGTTTGTGGAACTGGCAAGAAACGTGAAGACCCTATCATTTTGTACCTCAAAGATGAGCATTTTCAATTGGTTCTTCGACAGGACGGAATTGAACTCCCAAGGGACTGGGTTCAGGCTAAATCTTCTGGGGAACCCATAAGGATTAACCTTAGAGGGGCTGGACGTCTTTGGTGTTCTTTGGTGTGACAAGACCCCTTCTAAGACTTCTACTAAGAAAAGCAATAGACCGCTGCGCCAAACCCGCAGGGTGTGGTCCTCAAAAACTCCCTCCATGGCCTCCAGTACCGCTGATGAGGTTTCAGCTGCTTCGACCTTTCGCCTTTGGAGGAAGACCAGTCTACAGGAGAGCGAGAAACCAAGAGGGGACAGCACTATGGCTCCTTCAGCCGACCAAAATGCTACAGGAAGTGATTTTCAGTTTGGCACAGTTGCGACTTCAGGAGCCCGGCCAAAATTCCCAAGTGGCAAACTTGGGACCCTGCATGAACTCACTGAAGCGGAAAAGAAATCCCGACCGTGGTGGACTTGTCAGCTCTGGGGTCACGTGATATATATATCAAACAATTTCAAGGGAGATATTCTGCGGCACGTCTCAAGGCTAGGCAAAAGCACCTTTGCAAGTTTCACGGATACAGCAAAGCCCCCCCACTCCCCCGAAATGGTATCCAGGATATGGCGATCAGAAATGAGGCTAGGCAAAGGCACAACCAAAACATTGGGTGGAAAGCCGTGTGGGAAGCTTACATGAGCAACCGATGGCCCGGTAGTCACCGTATTTTTGAAAAAGGCGTTAGAACGGTTGCTAGATCTGGGTATGTGGTTTACAAACAAAAGTGTCAGGACTGTGGCGCGGTCATGTGTAGAGGTGATGTCCCCAAGCGTGACCCCTGTGTTAAGAATCCCACCTTCGCGGACGCCCCCTCTAGACCCGAGCGTGTCAAACTTTGGCGTGGTTTTCAAACATGCCGCCAGACCGCTATGCGAGACGCCCGCAAAGAGAGGTACAACTGCGCGATGAGCAAAAAAGAAAGCATGCAATACGCGAACCGCATTAGGCTTGCTAGGAGCAAAGAAGCTGGGTTGTCTAAACTCGCGGATGGAGTCAAAGCCACTAGAAGAAACCACCGTGGTGAGGTCATAGGGGAAGCTTCGAACCCTGGTCGCGCGGTCCCTCTCTCTTCTCATGGTCGCGCTAGTGAAAAACCCAGCCTCAACCTGTGGAGCACAAACATTCGGTCATGGAATAAACATGGTGAGTCCCTTCTTCGCGAAGCTACTAAGGCAAACGTGCAAGTGGTGTGTTGTCAGGAAACCAACCTCCCTCAGGAGGACTTCGCTACTCAGATGTGGGTAGCCAGGCATCTTGGATGGAATGTCATTTTCATTCAGTCCTTCGGTAGCAACAACGGTGGCCTCGCAGTTGCTGTCAGAGAACCTCTTGCCGTGGTTATCCTTGCTGAAACTTCGAATGATTCGGGTCAAATGATTCAGGTTGAAATTCACTCCTCTAGTGTTCCTTTTCGCTTGTTTAATGTGTACCAAAGACCCGGCGGTTGGGATCCTTCCATCTCTCATCCTATGCTTGGGCTCGATAACACC